TAATTTTTGCTCTTTTGTTGCTTTTTTCCCCCCAGCAATGTAATTCCCAGATCTCGTCGTGGGAGTCATTGGCACCCTCCCCCTTTTTTCTTGTTCTTCCTCCTCCTCCTCCTGAGTTGTGGAGCCGCCACCGCCGCCGCCGCCAAAGCCGCCACTGCTGCTGGGTTGTCGGTATAAAAATCCCGGACCCGTCACCTGGAAGCATCAGTCGCTCGTTGAACCAGTTCAGCAAGAAAACCCAAAGCATTTTTTCTTGAAACCTCTCAAGAAACTCAACCCAACCCAAGTCAACATGAAATACTTCGTGAGTTTCGTTTTCATCAGTTCCTCTTGTGTGTGAGCGTTGAAAAAAATTAATAGTTCATCTTACTAACCACCAAAATCGGTTCATTACATTTTTAAAATGCTTAGAGTAATTTTATTCTTTTTTGGGGATTTTTTTCGAAATGCTGTCGTAAATCGTATCGTTAAAATTTGGATTTCTCTTTGAAGATTCTCCCAGCTTTTTCTTTTTACCTCGGTTTTTTTAATGTTCATACACTTTCTTGAAAGCCAATTTTTCAGTGATCAACTGTTCGATCATGCATTTCTGAACTGAAGAATTTTTTTTTAACCGGAAATTTTCGCAATGGTCTCAATTTTAAAGCCAAACAAAATTTTCTCGACTGCGAAATGTGTTGTTTCAAAAATAAGAAATTGATGTCTATTTAGATTCTTTTAAATAGGCCAGAAGAATTTAAAGTTGGAAAGGTTTGTTTCCTCAAAAATGTTTCGGAATAAATGCTATTTCAGGAAACCCCTTCAAATGCAAACGAAAAGAAAAAACAACATTGATATTAATTAATTAATTATTATTTAAGAATCATTTTGAAAGCCTTGTCTTCTGGATTTTGTCTACAGAGTGACGATACAACCACCAGTCTGTGAGAGATAATATTCAGGATATTCCTAAAGGGTCTTCTATTTCTGTTAGAAACTTATTTTTTGTGACGCGAAAAAAATGTGACTATTCAAAACATTTTGTATATGATTTTAATTGATTGACAAAAACATGTGTTGGCGGTGTACATTAATTTTAAACAATTCATTGACTCTTTCAGGTGTAAACTTCCAAAGTTCTCAGTTGAAATAATTCCCAAACTTTTGTATAAATTTTGAAATCATTCTTTTATTTATATATTTTTTATTACTTAGAAATCATATCAGAATTTTTTGTTTGGGGAACAAAAGAAGAATTGCATGAAATTGTGATTGGTTATATATTCTGGGCCTTGAATTTCTTCTTGAATGAGTTGACAGGATGCTGAAGTTGGAGGCAAGAGTTTGTTATTCCCAATTAGTCTGCCACATCCTTTCAAAACACATCAAGCTAAATTTTATTGCATTTCCCTTTCCTGTGTCAATGACAAGATAACCAAAAAGGACTCCATCAGTAAATTTGAGTTAGTTAGGTTTATGATGCATTATTCAGCAGGGAATTCAGACAGCTACTTGAACTAAAAAACAGCTTGGGGAGTTTTCCAATTCAAGGAGGTTTGAGCTACGGAGGTTCAACTCCTGTAAATTAATTTAAAATAAACCATCCTTTTTTTAATATGCAGTATTTCAAAAAAGTTTGGAGTAATTGAGGTTTGATAGTGAGAGAGGTTTTTGATGCATTGTTCTTCAGGTAGTTTAAGAAAGGACTTATAAAAATAAGATTGGTGTTGGTAGTTTTTTGACTCAATATAGCTGGGAGGTTCAATTTATCATGATTCACTTCATGCACATTATCATTTTCAAGTTACAAATTTTTACTTTTTTGAGTCAGGGATGCTTCAAAAAAAGTTGTTTGAGAGATTTTGGAAAGGGGACCATTTAAAAAATTCTAAATAAGTACTTTTTGACTCAGGAAGGCTCAAGTTATCAAGGTCGAACTGTAAATTATTCTTGTGGTACACCTCTTATTCAAACAAGTTTTGTGTTAAATGGAGGCTTGATGGGGGAAGCTTTTGAGTTAGCAAAGTTTTTCCACATGCACTGTTTCCAACTCATGCTAATTAATTTCAAGATACAGCAAAATAGTGTTACAAAAAACTTCTGGGGACTTCAGAAAAAGTTTGCTATATAGTGAATAATTTGTTATGACAAGATTTTCAAAAAACTTCACTTATTGGAAGATTTAAAAAGTATAACGTGCATCCCTTCTACAACTTTCTTTTATTGTGGCGTTTTCATGTGTGTTTCAGTGTTTAGGAAACTGTGATATTTGGAAAAAAATTTACATGTTCAACAACAAACATTTACTCTGAATTACAGGCAAACATCACTAGTGAATTTTATTGTTGACTAAGTTTTTCCAAGCAATTTCTGCACTTATTCAAATAAGGATGGATTTTCCAAAAAAAAAAAGCTTGCAATTTTCAAGCACCAGCAGCTGTAGGGTTTCTCAAGCACACAAAGATTCTTCAAAATGAATTTTTCTGGGTTCATTTTTTTAAAAATGTAAATTGATGTCAAAAGAGTCATTTCTTATTCTTTTTAGTAAGGAAAAACATGCAAAAATGATTTCCCTTTTTTGTTTTGATCAGGCCGTGCTCGCCATGCTCGCCGTCATCTGCGCCGCCGCCTTTGGCGCCGAAGAAGAGAAGCCCAAGGACCTCGAGGGCGCCGAGTCCTACCTGGGCTACGGCGGCTACGGCTACGGCTACCCGTCCTACGGCTACCGATCATACGGATACGGACACGGCTACGGCTATGGCGGCTACAAGCCATACGGTCTCTACCGCAACTACTGGTGAACAATTCACGGAAAAAACCCCGTCTGATTGCTGCTGATATGAACCAAAACCAACCCACGACCTTTTTCGGCATTTTTTATGTGTGCGTGTGTTTTTTTCGTTTCTTCTTTTTTTCGCAAACGAAGGAAAAAAGTTGAGGAAAAAACTTTTTTTGTTTTTGTTTGAAAATGATGATGGCGAGGAAAAGAGAAGGAGAAATGCGTTTTCTCGCACCTTTCTTCTTTCTTCCTGGGATATTGTCAAACATCAGTGAATGATGATCAGAGGGAACCGATGATGCAGGTTTTCTACGTTTTTTTCCACCCTGTGCTATTGAAAGACCAAATAAAAAATGCATCCACTGTGTGCTATCACTTCTCAAAAACTGTGTTGATTCAATTTTATCCATCACTTCAGAATAAAAAAATGAAAGAAAATGAAATAAACAGTGTCACTGAAGAACAGTGAAATCTCCTTACAAAAATTTTGTTACACCAAATGTTTCAGTACAGTATAAGAAACTTTTCAACCCTTGGACAGCAGAGGGTTACTTTGCAATGTGGGGTAGAGTCAGAATTTTTTAAAGGGGAATGGCACATTTCACTTGGGCCCAAGGTCACTGAAATTCTCCCAGGTTAAGAGGGCATAAGTCAAGGAATAAGTCTGCTTGAATGTCCCATCCACTTCCCAATGCTTTGGTGACTGGCAGAGTTTGTCCTTCCTAGGCATCAAATTCTTGGAATCCAGGAACCTTTTCCTCCTCAGGGAATTCCTTCAGGATGGAGGTTGAGTTAGAGGCCCACTTGTGCAGCTTGAAACCTTGTTTGGACAGTGCTTCAGCCAGCCTTTTGGATCAGCAACAAGAGATTGTTGGTGG